GCAGGCCCAGCGCCCGCGCCCAGGGAGGAGACGGGCTGGCACCGGGGCGGGGGCGCGCGTGGAGGGGCGGCGGGGTGGGCAGGGTCGCTGGGTTCCGGGGCCCGCGGGGTGAAGGGGCCCCGGCTGTGGCCCGCGGGGTGGTGGCTGTAGGCCTCGGGAGAGAACCGGGCCGCGGGGCCGCGGTGGCACAGCCCAGCCTCCTAGCCCCCTAGCGCCGGCCCTGCTTCCCGGCCTGTCTGCTTAAAGGTTGGGTTTCCTGCCATGGAGAACTTAGGCCAAGGAGTGACACCTGAAGAAGGCGTACCCTCTGGCTGGCCACCCACCGCCGGCTCGGTGTGGGGATGCGCCCTGACCCACAGGTGACCTTGGACCAGTCACTATGCCCTCCAGGTGCTCCCGGGCTCCGGAAGCCCGGACTCCTTTTCCCTCCTGTGTCCGCTTGATCCCTGCCAGGCCCTCATCTGAATCTCACCTCGGCTGGGACACACCGGATGACCCGCAGCCCATGTGCTCCCAGGCCCTGTAGGCCCGCCCCCAGTGCGATCCAGGGCTTGGAGCAGGAGGGGCCTGTGGCCTGGGAGGCCTCCGAGGAAAAGGGTGGGGAGAAGAGGCTTCCTGCACAGCTGAGCCCACCCTGCCTGCAAGGCCCCAGGCTACGTGCTGGTCCTGGCCTCTTGCCTCCTTCTGCCCGGTCCTGGAAAAGGGGGCTGAGACGTCCAAGCCAGGAGGTGGGGTGTGCAGCACCCCTGCCCTGAGGAAGGGTCCTGGACCAGGCCACAGCGGGAGGGGGTTTGAGCGTGATTCCTGGGGGGCGGCTGGGGAAGAGCTGGGGTGAGCCCAGCCCACACTCTCTAGTGGCCTAGTGCCCTCTGAGCCCCAGACCCCCCAACACCCTGCAGGGCAGGGGTGAGGGTCCACACGGCGGTATGGGTGCCCACAACCCAGTTCCCGGGTCCCCAGGGGAATTGGCCTGACCTTCCCCCAGCCACCGGGGTCTCCACCAGGAGCCGGCCCCGCCTGACCTCTCCCGAGCCCCAGCCTGGGGCCCCTGCGCCCAGGGAGGAGGACATCCTCCGGCTCTTCTCCCCTGCTCAGTCACCCCTGCCCCAGGCAGCTGGGTGGCAGGGCGGTGCTGGGGTGGGGGGCACCTGGAGCCCCGCTCAGGGGCTGCCCGTAGCAGGGTCATCCCGGTGTCCCTGGAGCTCACAGGCCCACAGGACCTTGCAGGGGGGTCTGGGCTGGGGGGGGGATGCTGCTGAGGGGTCTGACCAGGCCCTGGGGGACGGTCAGCGAAAGAAAAGGCTGAGAGAGAGGTGACGGGGAGCCGGGGGGGGGGTTGCTGTCCCAGGGGTCCGGGCCATTCAGGAAGTGCTACACACCCCCAGCCTTCCCAAACCCCCAACCCCCCAGGGCCCGAGCCAGGGCCTCCCACTCCCACTGTCTGACGCCTGAAGGAGGGCCGAGGACTTGTCCCGCCCCGCCCCAGTGTTTCTCTCTTTTCCTGCTTTCCCTTCTGAATAAATGTGGGGATGGCTCCAGGGCTGGGCTGCGGGGGTGAGGGTCAACCAGGGCTCCGGACGTCTCCACAGAGCTGGCCCCAGGCCTGGCTGCTCTTCAGGGACAGCCATGGCACCGCCCTTCTGCCTGGGGTGGTCACCTGGGCCATGGGGCCCTCCCCATGCAGCCTCCTCTGGGGTGACCAGCAGTGTGAGATGGTGCCGGGGAGCAGGAGGTGGGACGTCACCTCTCGGCAAGCCACCATAAAAATGCCGCAGCTGCCCAGGGCTGGGCCAGGAGCCACTTGTCACCCTTGTCCTTGGTGAGAAGCCAGAGGCTGACAGGCTGAGCAGGCATGAGGCCCGCAGGCTCCGAGCCCCCACTGCTGCTTGGCCCCATAGGCAGAGGTGCAGGTGGCGGGAGGCTGGTGTCCGGGGACGGCTGGGCCTCGGCTGTCAGCCCTCCCTGGCCACTGGTGGACGAAAGGCCACATCGGTGTTCAGCTTCCGGCAGGGGCTTCCTCTGGGGACAGCTGGCCATGGGTTGCTGTCCTGTGCCCCAGCAGTAGCTCACTGCAGGGGCTCAGCCGCCTGGTAAGGTTCCTGAGCCTTTGCTGGGTGAAGTGGCCTCTGCTGGCCACTCCCCAGAGCTGGGGTTTGCCAGGGCAGGGGGTGCGGATGGAGGGGGTGCCCAGTGGGGGATCCCCAGCTTTGGGTGCTGGGATGGAAGACAGTGCCCCCAGCTCACGCTATGCCACCAAGATACTGGAATTTTCACTTGACAGCTGGGGAAACTGAAGCAGGTTGAGTTTGAGAGGGGCCTAGGGCCCCACCCACATCTGAAACCATCTGCTGATGGGGCCAGAGGCTGAGTCTCTCCAGGCCCAGGGTGCCCCGCAGTGCAGAGATCATTGGGGTCCTGGGCCCTGTCCAGTTGGAACTTTCAGGAAGCTTGTAGTACAGCAGAGGATGGGACAGTGTGGGCGTGTGGACAGCCTGGCCTTGTGCACTGGCTAAAATGGCACAGAAACCAAGGTCAGAGGAGATGGGGGTTTAAAAACGCCTTTATTCATCAAATTTACTGTTACCTGCCTGAGAGGGGCACAGGTAAGGGAGGGGCACAGATGCGAGGGGTGGGGGACAGGTGCCGGAGGGGCAAGGTGTGGGAGCTGAAGCCTGTGCTCAGAACCCCACATCTGGGGAGCCCCAGTGGCCAGAGGTGGGCGGGGATGGAGCGGGACAGAAGGTGCCTGACTGCCTCGGCCACGTCTCCCCTCCAGGGCCGCCTCCCGGGCCTCAGGCTCTGCTGCGCCTTCCTGCTCTGGCTGAGCGTCCTGGCGGCCAGCTGGATGGTGTACCTGCACTACTCATCCCACTCGGAGCTCTGCCGCGGCCACGTCTGCCGTCTGCTGATTGTGAGTGTGTCCTGGGACTGTGGTATCTGGGCTCCCACAGGCTGGGGGTCCAGGAGGGACCCCTCCTCCCTGTGCCCACACTGCCAGGAGGGGGTGGCAGTGTCATTGTCCACCCGGTGGAGGGCTTTTAAGAGCGGAAATTGGTTCTCCCCAGCCCTAGAGGCTGGGGGCCCGGGCTCGGTGCCCGCAGGGCCAGGCGTTCTTGAAGGGCTCTGGGGTAGAACCCCCCTTGCCTCCTCCAGCTTCTGTGACCCTGGTGTCCTGGCTTGGTAGAGCCTCCTCATATGCCACCTCTCCCTGTGTGACCATTCTGCTGTGTGCCCCCCAAGAGATGCCACCAGTAGAGATGAGGGTTAGGACCCCTGCCCCCCGCCCTACCCCAATAACCTTGTATGTCTGTGTAGCAGATAGCAGCTGCAGAGACAAGCCCCATCTCCCTAAACAAGGGCAAGTTCACAGGAGGGGCGTTGGGACTCAGCCCGCTTGAGCCCCAGCACTGAGACTGTGGCTGGGACAGGCCCGTGGGGGGGTGCTGGGCAAGTATGTGGGCCTAGCCGCCACTGGACAATGGGGTCTTGGTCCTAAGAGGCGAGGGCAGGGCAGGGCTGGGTTTTAGAATGGAATCCAGTCCGTGTTTTGAAACGCTGCCCCCAGCGGGGTGGTGACACCTGGAGAGCCCCAGCAGGAAGTGAGGAGACGGGCACTGGGCGGCAGGGGCTGCAGGTGTCTGGGAGGAGTGGGTGGGCTCAGGTGGCTGGTGGCTGGGGGTGGACAGACGGGCAACTGCAGGTGAGCATGTGGGCACGGGTCACCTTGACCCTCCTTCCTGCCTGGCCTTTCTGCCTGTGGGCCTCGGGCAGCAGGGCGGCTGGGCTGTGACAAACTCCCCCTCCGGTGGCCTTGGTGGCCTGGGGGACAAGTGGGCAGGGACTGTCCCCTCTGATACGGCAGCCCCACACAGCAGCAGAGTCTCTAGGTGGGAGAACCCAAGCTCTGGGGCCATGGAGGTCACTGTCTGCTCATCCCATGCTAGCAGGCGTCCCCTCTTGTTTCTAACTCCCCCAGTCTCCCTGGGGGTGGAGGTGGTGCCTGTGGGCCTGGTGGGTGTTAGGTGTCAACGGGGGCAGATGGGCGGCAAGACCTGGAGGAGGCTGTTGCCCTGCAGGTGAGGGGTGGGGGTCTGGGCACTGTTCCCTGAATACCTACTGTATACTGACGGCCCGGCCCCTCTTCCTGTCCTGGGGTTCCCCTGTGCTGCACCAGCCCACCCCCTCAGAAAAAAAACAAAACAAAAACCAAACTCACTGCCGTTGAGTCGGATCCGACTCATAGCAACCCCTCCCTCTTTGGGTTTCTGAGGCAGTATCACTATGGAAGTAGATTGCCCAACCTTCCTTAGGAGGAGCGGCTGGTGGGTTTGAACCATCAACCTTCTGGTTAGCAGCCAAACTCCTGAGGCACTATGCCACTGGCGCGCCCAGCCTGCCCCCTAGTACCTGGTGAAGTACATGCAGGGATGCAGCCCCACTGTCTCGTCCCCTGCAGTGCCCCGCCTGCCCTCTCAGGGTCCACATGCCAGGCCTGTGGGTTCTGGGACTTGCAGAGCCGTGTCCAGAGTTGGGGAGGGGCCAGGTGCGGAGGCAGGGAGCCCCAGGGTGTCTGGCTGCCGCTGCCACCCGGAGGCTAGGACAGACCTGGGCAGGGCTCTAGGTACAGCTGGAGGGGCACAGGGAGCCAAATCCGGGGCCAGGCAGGGCCTCGCGGCTCCTGACCACCCTAACCTGGGGAGGTGCTGCTTCCTGTCACTACGCTAACTGCCGCTGCAACTAGGCCTCCCCTGGCACCCAGACCTCACCTGGGCACACCTCCATCTGGGCTGAGTAAAGGCCGGGCAGGTCCGCCTGGGCCCGGCTCACGGGTTGGGAGGCAGGCCAAGTATGAACATGGGGACAGCTGTACTGCCAGGCAGCAAAAGCCCGTGTGCAGGTCGAGGCCCAGCACCCCCCGAGGCCCATCCAGTGAAGGGCCCCCTGGGGGACGGGTCTCCCCAGCACCACCCTGGCCCAGCACATCTGCCTGCTCTCGGTTCTGAGCCCCTGGACACCACTGGCTGCACCTCCACGATGCTCAGCCTGCCAGGCCCTGCGTGAGGCCAGGTGGACACCTGCGGGATGCAGGCGGGCCATCTATGCTGCCCACCTGTCTCTGAGGACCCACACACAGGCCTGCGTCCTCACAAACGGGATGCTGGGGACCTGCCTCCCCATGGGGTGGGAGGAGCCGGGCCACTTCCTCCGTGGCTTGGGGACTGCTTGCTGGGGGAGGAGGCGCTGGAGTGACCCTTCTGGGAGGTCACAGTGAGCTCCCCGGAAGAGTGGGTCTCAGGACTGCCCCTAGGGGAGGGGGGCTCAGCAGGGGCTGGTAGGGTGTGCGACGCCTGAGCCACTCCTGGCATCTCTCCCCAGTGTGACCAGTACCGCAAAGGCATCATCTCGGGCTCCATCTGCCGGGACCTGTGTGACCTGCACACGGTGGAGTGGAGGACCTGCCTGTCCTTGGCCCCTGGGCAGCAGGTGAGTGGCCCGCCCTCGGGCCCACCTGTGCAGGGCTTGGGAGACCTCTGGCCCCGCCTGTGGAGGCTCCCCGTTTTTAATTGTGATTTTTGCTGTCAAAGTTTACGGAGCAAATTCCTTTTCCACACAGCAGTTCACACGCGTTTTGTCTCACCACATTGACTGCGGTGCTCCCCCCCCCGCCCGACCCCCCCCCGTGTAACAGGTCCCCTCCCACTTCTTCCCAGAGTCACCTCTTCCCTGCGTCCTTCCCTCCCAGGCACTCCCGCCCCCCTCCTGGCTCCCTGTGCGCACACTGCCCGTTCTCCCACTTGGTCGCTCCAAGGAGCATATCTACCTGGTGTAAAGTTCCCTCCATATGCCTGGAGGGAGTTCAATTCCAGACCTGAAGGGGAACTGGGGGTCACAGTCTCAGGGGGGCTCACCAGGCCTGGGTCCCTTCTGCTGAGAGTACCGCGCAGCCTGTGGGAGGGAGGCAGTGTGGTGCGGTGCCGTGCTCTGCTCAAAGCCTCCCTCTGGCTCTGCCCAGGTCTATCTTGGGCTATGGCAGGGCCAGGAGGTCATTATCAAATGTGGCATCGAGGGGGTGGGGCCGGACGCGGTGCCCCTGCGGGAGCTGGTGCTCTTTGACAAGCCCACCCGGGGCACCTCCATGAAGGAGTTCCGGGACATGACCCTCGGTTTGCTTAAGGTCAGCGGTTGTCCTGTGCTGGGGGGAGCCCCCCGCGGGCCAGCTCCCAAAGCGGGCTGGGGCGGGAGGGGGAAGGAGGAAGGGGGCCGGACACCAGGCTCCAGGGAGCCCTTGGGGAGGTGTGGGGACCGAGGCCAAGGCTCGGGACTTGGGTGCCTGGCGGCATCTGAAGGACCAGAGGTGTGACTCGTCCACCTCTCGCCCACGCACAGGCAACCCTGGGAGACCTGCCATCCCTGCCCGAGCTGGTGGGGCAGGTCCTGGCCATGGCGGACTTCAACGAGGACAGCCGGCTGTCGCTGGCCGAAGCCAAGTCCGTGTGGGCGCTGCTGCAGCGCACCGAGGCCCTGCTGCTGCTGGCCCTGCAGGAGAAGGGCCACACGGCGCGGCTCCTGGGCCACTGCGGGGACCTGTACCTCACCGAGGGCCGCCCGCACGGCTCCGCCCAGGCCACCATGCTGCCCGCCGGGCTGCGGCCTCTGCTGCCCACGGCCCTGCTGCACGCCCTGCAGCAATGGCTGGGCCCCGCATGGCCCTGGCGGGCCAAGGTCGCCGTGGGGCTGCTGGAGTTCCTGGAGGAGCTCTTTCATGGCACCTACGGGACCTTCTACCTGTGCGAGACCACGCTGGCCCACGTCGGCTACACCGCCGGCTACAGCTTCAAGATGACGGACCTGCAGCAGGTGGCGCCCGAGGCGGCCGTGCGGCGCTTTCTGCAGGGCCGCCGCTGTGAGCACAGTGGGGACTGCACCTACGGGCGTGACTGCCGGGCGCCCTGCGACCGCCTCATGCGCCAGTGCAAGGGCGACCTCCTGCAGCCCAACCTGGCCAAGGTGTGCGAGCTGCTGCTGGACTACCTGCTGCCCGGCGCCCCTGCCGCCCTGCGGCCCGAGCTCAGCCGGCAGCTGCGCACCTGCACCACGCTCAGCGGGCCGGCCGGCCAGGTGGAGGCGCGCCACGCGCTAGTGCTCAGTCACCTCAAGGGCCTGCTCTGGAGGGAGATCTCCTACGGCCAGTACTCCTAGCGCCCGGCGGCCGCGCCCACCCATCCCGCACCACCAGAAGGAGGGCCAGTGATGCAGGGGCTGGGCCCCAGGCAGTCACGGCCTCTGGAGAGACCTCACTGCAGCCACCGCCCAGCCCCTGTGGGAGGGCAGGACAGAGCAAGGAATGGGATGCCACCCCGGGGCCATGGGTAAGGATGCTTTCGAAGAATGTAATGTAAATACAGCTTTTATGTGAGGCGTGTCCTTCCGAGCTGGGGCCCCTGCAGGCGGGTGTTCTGGCCCAAGCCCAGGAAGGGAGTGGCTGCTGGGCTTCCTCCAGAGCAAAGCCCGTCTGCCCAGCTGACAAGCAGGGGCAGGCAGTAGGGAAGAGAAGGGGCTGGCTCCTGCCACCCCCAGGCACAGCACCAGCAGCCAGCCACCTTGGCCAGAAGGGCAGCGGCCAAGCAAGGTGCAGGGGTGTCCCACCCCTCTTCCAGGCACCCTAGTCCTTAGCAGCACCCACCCCAGCCTGAACCAGACCCAGGAGTCCTGCAGCTCAGGGTCCAGTTGCCTGCTCCTCTCGCAGAGGCACCCCATCGCGGCATCTGGCAGGGGTTGGGAGCTGACCTACAGCAGCAGTGACCACCCCATCAATGTAATGCCCACAGCCCCCTGAAGCTGCCCCCTCCCACCTGGGTGTGAAGTTGGCTGGGCCACGCCCAAGGTCCAAACCACAGGTGGTGAGTGGTCAGTTACCAGCCGTCAGTTAGCTGAACCATCTGGCAACTTGTCACCATCTACCACAGGAAGCTGCCTGTCCTGGCACACTGTGGAGACATGCCAAGGACCTACCCAAGGCCCAGTCCTGGCTGGCACAGGGTGCCAGAGGCAGAACCAAGGCCCCAATGCCCGCTCTCTCCTGTCAGATGCAAGGAGTCAGGTGATGGGCAGCCTCCTCCCAACCCCTCCCCCAACACTGGGAGGTACACCCCCAGGAGCAGGAGCCCCTCTCCCTACAGGGAACTGGGGGTGAGGAAGGGACCCCCACCTCAGCAAAGCCAAGCACAGGAAGCAATTCCAACAGGACTTTATTATCCTGTTCAATTTGAACCAATTTATTCTCCAGTTTTGTCAACATAGAAATATTTTCCTCAAAAAAAAAAAAAAAA